ATTCCCACCTACGAACCTAGCTTTTCATCAAAATCCAGTTACCCAAATTCGCTGTTCAAATGTTTGTAATTTGCAACTTAAATAAGGTTAGACCTAGGAATTGAATGCATTACCTTACCCTTCACTCCTGGGCTCTACCAGACTAAAAGCAAAGGACCATTATTGTTATTTATACAGAGCCATAGTTATGAAATGTACCACAAGGATCCATAGCTGCAATCCCCTACCATGTGGTAGCATATTTTGCTACTACACCAACCGCCCAGCCCAATTGACTAGTAGTTAGTGGCTTGCTTTCCAAAAATACTACATAAAATAGTCTTGCCACAGAGGTTTTCGGCAGCAGTTTTAAAAAATGAGTTGTACATTATGACTTTAGTGCTAGAAAATTTGAAGTGATGTGGCAAAGTAAAGTTTTCCCTCCTTTTCTAAAAAGGAACATCAAGTGTAATAACTCAACAGATGTGAACATTTGGGAAGTGCATATTATGGGATTTTTCATTACAATAGCATTTACTATTTTAGTAAGAACATTTTATTACCCTGTTCCAACAAATGTCTGTGTGCATCATATTTTAAATAATAATAATTACATTGTATTACATTCACGCTCTTCCCAGGAAAAGCAAAAAGTGAATATGAACTGCAAAGCTACCTGTAACTTTGCTTATCTTTGTACATATACCAGACTAAATGAGTCGGTTTACTGCAACATCCTGGGCAAGGAACTTGAGCCAAATGAGTTCAACATACTTATTAAAATGCCAATTACATTCTAAACAAACTATGACAGAGTAATAGTGTAATGGAATCCATTAGGGCAAAAATAAAATAAAAACTGTTCAAAGTCAAGCATTCTCTGCACGCACACTTGAAAAATATGGAACAATGTAATTATGTATTACATACTGGTAAAGGATTATAATTAGTATGAAATTTTTTTGCATCTTTTCTCCACAGGTATTGCATTTGGGAGTTCTCTGTATCACAGCTGTATAATCCACATTCAAGAATTTGTGCACAATCTAATAACTAATCAGCATCCTATATCAGTCCTGCTCTCCCTTACATTCCCACTCCTACATGCACATGTCAAGCATTAGTCTGAGAGGGGATGGGGAAAGTGACTGAATCAAACACAAAAATGCACATGCAGAGAGGTGGAGCCTGGTGCCAGCTAAAGAGAAGGAGAGGAGCAGTTTCAGTTAGAGCAACTGAAAAATTTAATACACGAAAAGGACTTTTCGTTTTCCAAATAAGTGGGAAAAGATCTTCTCTGCCTACCTTTGGGAGGGTAACCAGAAAGTGTGGGAGAGTAAGGGGAAACCAGACAGGACCGATTTTTTCAAGTTACAGAAATCTAGGCAGCAGAAGAGTGAACCTTGAAGGGGAGTTAGGTGTTAGCCAACATGTTCTAAAACTCTAGTGTAGACAAGGCAGTGTATATTCTTAACACATGCTAGCTGATCCCATTAAAATCCATGATCTTCCTAGATTTCAACTGGACTACCTCAATACATGATAAAGTACATCTTGCCTTGTCTTGACTTTAGTTTTAGAAGGTATTAGATTGAACTAAAAATCCAACTCCACACGTTTAAATCCTAATTTAAAGAGCTTTGAGTCCTCTTTCTTTACAATAAATTATTTTGGCCCTGCATAGGTGCAACCAGGTGGTCTATGCAGCCCCTCCTTGTGGCCCATCAGGCTTCACAATTCCCCTGCTGGAGGAGATCCCTGCCAGTCAGGTGTCCCCAACCCCTCACAGATCCAGTGCCATGGAGTCCAAAACAAAAAGGGAAACAATGAACTAAAAATTAGGATCATCCAAGGATTTGTCAGCAGGACCCACACTTCTGCTCCAGGCTTTTGTCCCTCCTTGTCTACCTTCCTAGGTCTCTGTCCAATCCACCAAATGGTTCATCCAGGTAGCAAGCTGCCTTAGGCTCTTGGCTGGGACCAGGCTTCCCTCATTGAGGAAATAGCAGAATTTTGCTCTCCTTCCTGGTCAGCCCTCAACTGGGCGAAGTCTCCTCCTTTTAACTCCCCGCTCCATGTTTGATATTGGTTGCACATATAGCAGGGTAGGATCATCTGGGTCCACCGGCTCCCCTTAAGCTTTTCCTTGCCAGTGTGGAGCCCATCTGCCTAATTAACTGCCTCATTGCCAGTACAGGACTTCTGACCCATCACAATAGTATGTAGATAGGCTTTCTACAAAAGTAAGTTTGTGTCTTAAGACACAGGAAGTGGTTTCTGGGAAACTGTCAGCCTCAGATTCAAGAGTTTCCAGGAACGAGCAGCAAATAAACCACCTGGAATATGATCTTAAAGAAACAAAGGACACTGCAAAGGAAATGTTAACAAGGGATTTTACAAAACAATACCCTTTGCTAGAAAGAAAATTAGAAGTAATTGGGGGTGGGGGGGAGAAATCAGTCAGGGTTTGAAGTGTCCATACTCTTGCAAATCTGGATATTAATGCCTGGACTCCCAATACTGGAAATTCTAAGTTATCCCATATATAAAAGAAAGCAAAATAATAATGCTTCTTACTTATATATCAGTAAGTTATAGGCTCCCTACATGTAGAAACAAGAATATACAATAAAGGCAGCACTGTTATTTTGTCTAATGACAGAGAAAAGGAGCAAATCCTGAAAGCAGATTCAGCCATCAAGGCAATTTATATTCTTGGTAGGTAGATTTCTTTTCTGTGGCTTCAGCTCTGTCAGAGGCAGGTCAAAAAAGGGTTATACATTTTAAATGATCGGATTAAGAAGCAGAAGTGGAGGCATGGCCTTTTCATGCCCAGCCAAATTTTGGATTATTTATGAAAACCCCCTATATCATCTAGATCTTTGTCAGCAGGGTTTTAAAGCCAAGCTCTTTGAGTTCTCAGAAGAGGAACACAGGTAAAAAAAATTATATTTTAATAGTCACTCATTAAAGAGAGATTTCTTACTCGTACATTAATCTTAATCCATTTGTTTGCCAAATTCCACACCCTGTTGTGAACTATGGATGGACCTGAGGTATTCTATATTAAAATGCCTTCTTTCAGAATTATTTTAGCTCCATTAGAATGGCAGTGCACAGAGTGAAGGCCATTAGAACTCTTGTGTGTCACCAGACAAGACTCAAGGTTTCAGAAAGTGTAGTTCAACATTACATCCACTGCATTACAAAAATGGGGATGGGTAAAATCTTTGCTTAAAATCAAATCTGTCATCCATAACTAATGATCTTAACTGCATGATTGTGTTTGTTATTCCATTCTTTTTGAGAGATGTTATCCTTTGCTATAAAGTTCTCTTTATTAATTTTAAGATGCAAATTTCACAGGATCTATGAAAGTCTAGTCAGTCAATTTAACTTTAGACCAGATTTGCCTTCATAGCCACACAGATGGATTTATAGAGATCTCTCTACAAATTTACTACTTTATTTATCTGAAATTATGCTTAAGCAGCAGAGATAATTAAAATGCATCAAACAATCAATGGAATAAAGAATCCTCGCATATCATCCACAACAGTTTTCCAGATGAAGAATCTTACTACATCAAAATCATAAAAATTAAAAAAAAAAAAAAAATTAAAGAAGGTTTTTCCCCCCCTCTTTCCCCCCTTTTTTGTAAAATATTTTTTGGTATATTACCTAGTTTAGTTTAATTTTTCATGAAATTATCCTTCCACCAAACTGCCCCAAACAAAATAAAAAAAAAAAAACCTCAGAGTTTTAAGTATTCCGCCAGTGGTGTGTGTCACTTTAAAAAGCACTTACATAGATGCTCAAAATATTTGCCAACACCATTTGCCTACATTACATCTGAATATCTTGATTTAACAGTAATACCCAACATACTTACAGGAACACTGAACAGAAATGATCCAATTATTTTTAACTGGTACAAAGACACTGAAGAGATATTATGGAAACAAAGCAAACATCTCTAATTCAGACATGAGAAATGGAAGCAAGCCGATTCCTACCTTCCATTAGAGAGGACCAAGTTTTCTCTCATTGAGATCTGAATTTACAACAATCAGCATGGTAGCATTTTTCAGTCTACCTGCCAAATGAATATCCCCATAGCATTCAACAGATTAATGCTTAGGGCCATAGAGATGTTGAAACTAGAAATATAGGGCGTCACATCAGTGACTGAGAAATTCAGTCATTAAAAGCAGATCATGTTCCAAAGTTATAACACCACTATGCATGATATATTACTTGTATTTTAAACACATTAAGCATATTGTATACTATTCCAACAGCTGGGGAATGTTATGGTCAATCAACCACCTTCATGGTACAAGTTGCCTTGGGGCGGGGGGTGTCTGAGTTTTGAGATAGTGAAATCAAGACTGTCTAAAATATAAGGAAAGCTATGAATAGACAGGCTTAGAGAAACCACACTTTTTGAAAGTGACACATGGCCCAACAAACCAGCAGCACTCAGATATCAATATACAAGTCTTTAATAAAGCCCTGCTGGAATGATTTAGTTGGGGTTGGTCCTGCTTTGAGCAAGGGGTTGGACTAGATGAACTCCTGAGGTCTTTTCCAACCCTAATCTTCTATGATCCTATGAATCTGGAATTATTACACACTAGTTGTTTCTAAATATAATGTACAACTTATTTTAGTCTGCAGGAACTGAAATTTGGGCATGTCTTTAAAGTTACTGAAACAGCACAAGTGTATTCTACTTTGCACAGTTACATGCAGGGCCTTAAAAATTCACTCACCAGTAGTAAGTGGGAAGCTTTTCCTGGCTAGTCCAGGACCCAACTCAATCAATCAGTTCTTGCTCATGGATTTGCCAAGAAAATTTAAACAAGACTAACAAGTGGATCAGTGCAACTAAAAACAAGTGTATATTTTAAAGAGTTTAATTTAGCATTTATGAAAGCATAGACAGAAGTCTTGTCTTTTGTATACATGAAGGCGTACTAATATTTTATACGTCAGGGTTGAAATAAATTTTATACTACCTTCTCCTGAAGTGAGAGGCTATTCCATGTAGCATTTAATCCCTGGCCTCTAGTGAAGACTGCAAATGAAAGTATCAATTAGTGCCAGTTATGATGATGGTTTTTCATGTGAACCCCCCCCCCCCCATCCACTTACTGTCTCCATCAACTCATTACACATAATTTGGCCCATCAAATGGTAATTAACTGGTTCACTACCAGACTGGTCTGGTTTTTAAATCAGTGATCGTGAAGTTACAGCTTGTATTATGTATTCTACTACTAAACCCCATGAACCATCCACTCCCAATACACAAAGAAGTTAATATTTTGGCAGTAATTAACACACTGCCACAAGAACATCAGATCAGATAGGTTTAGATGATAGGGGTTTAATATCAGAATTTCCACACTTCAAGAAAGATGTGAGATTTTACCACATACTCAAAATGGGAGGTGGCAAATAAGTCAGTGTATCCCAAAAGCTGTGCCAAAATGAGAAGCTTTAGAAGAAACTACATTACCAAGTATTTCCTTGTGTTTTGCATGTTATAAGATGGAGAATTTATTTTGTAAAAAAAATTTAGAAGTCACAGTGATGTCTGTCATGCATGGACCATACAATAAATGTCTCTCGAGGAACTGATAAAATTAAAAGCCATTCTTCCACCACTCATTAACTTCTCTATTTACTACACATTCACCATGCTAGCATAATTTAAAGCAGAGGGTCTTCAAGATGTTATGAGAGAGTTTGCAATTAGTGTTATTAATGGGTACGGACCCAGAATATTTGTGGTTGAAAGCCTAAGAAAGTAGAAGCTAGAATACTGTTCAATACCACACACACCATGTCCTATTTAGCTCAAAAGCTTGTGGTTTGCTACCATTTTGAGTAATGGGTTAAATATCTCATCCAAAGGAATGAAAATAAAGACAGCATGAGAACCTAAGTCACTTCAAAAAATAATTTTCCCCTCTGTTGATACTCACGCCTTCTTGTCAACTGTTGGGAATGCGCCACATCCACCCTAATTGAATTGGCCTCATTAGCACTGACCCCCCACTTGGTAAGGCAACTCCCATCTTTTCATGTGCTGTATATTTATACCTGCTTACTGTATTTTCTACTCCATGCATCTGATCAAGTGGGCTATAGCCCAAGAAAGCTTATGCCCAAATAAATGTTAGTCTCTAAGGTGCCACAAGGACTCCTCGTTGTTTTTACTGATATAGACGAATACGGCTACCCCTCTGAAATAAGTCCTTTCTGATAGTCTCTGGTGTAAGGTAAAGGTTCTACAGCAATTTTTAAAAAGCTACCCCATTCTCCTTCCCAAGCATTTTCTCACTCCACAGAGCAGGATTCAAAATGTCAATGAACTCAGAAATAGCTTGCATACAGCTTAACCTTTACTACATTTGAATGATAGACACTGTATTATCAGCACTTTCTTGGTAAGATTTTTTATAATACCTCAAGTATGAGAGGTAATGTACCACAAAATTCTATTTTGCAGTTATCCCATATAATTTAAATTAACTCCCTTAATTCTCTGAATGTTAGGAAATCAGACTCACCACAAAAAAGATACTTCTCTATGAATTAAACCATGGTAAAGATTTCTTTTGGCTTTTTAATGTTTCATACCAGATGTTGAATTCTTTATTGAACAGAATTAGAAAGCAAACATTGAGATACCCTCAGGGATTTTGTCCTGCTCACATTTAATATGTACAAATGAAAAAATAAAATGGCCTTTCAAGTTGAAATCACCACAATCAGAAAGTCCTGGAAATACAGAAATCTCAGCCAACTCTAGAAATTGTAATCTGTTTCCACCACACACACCATCCCTATAATACAATACATGTAAAAACACAGAAAAACCCACCACAAAATATAGCCAAGGGAAGTAATTAGTTGCTTCTATCACTCTACAATTAAGTGCAAATGTTCAACTAGTAAAATGTGAGAATAAGGTGGATGAGGTAATATCTTTTATTGGACCAATTTTGGTTGGTGAAAGAGACAAGCTTTCAAGCTTAAACGGAACTCTGTAAAGGCTTGTCCCTTTCAGCAACAGAAGTTGGTTCAATAAAAGATATTACCTCATTCACCTGGTCTCTCTAAGATCCTGGAACCAACATGGCTACAACACTAAACAAAAATTTAATTATTTCAAGTTATTTGAAGTATGCTTCATTAAACCTTGAGTACCAAAAGTGTAAAAACTGTTTTCCTGTTAGGTCACTTGAAATCTAGGTTAGCAGCACACTCAGTCCTGGAAAAAAGAGGAGCATCATGCATTGGTCGGTTACCATTACTGTGGCTGAACAAAGAAGTGACACAGATGACCATAAGTTTATCATAAAGCCCTCCTCTATCAAAGCCTGGCCACTGTAGGCACTTTAAGAGAGGAGTCCTCTGAGAAGGGGACCCGAAGCAGTTTTAAGATTAGGCACTAAACGAAGTATGAAGATTATGGCACCAGGTTTTTAAACTATCCCTGTTACAGGCACTAAGTTCATGTCAGATGCATGATGTGATGGGACAATGTCCCATCAAAGAAAGTATCCAAAAAGCAAGATGGCAGAGAAAGGAGTAGATTCACCAATAGGTAAAGATTAGTGATAAGAAGGCTGATACTTGTTATTTTCCTTCAGCTACCATTTAGAAAAAAATATGACAAAAATAGTGAGGATAGCATTATTGCAACCAGAATCAGAAATCATAGGACTGTAAGGGACCTCAAGAGGTCATCTAATCCAGTCCCTCGCACTCATGGCAGGACTAAGTATTATCTAGATCATCCCTGGCAGGGGTGTTTGTCTAACCTGCTCTTAAAAATCTCCAATGATGGAGATTCCACAACCTCCCTAGGCAATTTACATGAACGAACATGTCAACTACTGCATAGTTAACTAGAACATATTAGAACATTAGTAGGGTCATATGAAAGTCACTTAGGTATACTAAATGAACTAAGAACCACTGGTGATTGTTTTGGGGAATTCCATCACTACCAGAGAATTTGAAAATAGTATACACTGAAGCTATTTAGGAAATGAAGCTATTTAGGAAATAGGATAACACAGATCTGGAGGTTACAGACCAGCAACTTCAATAGCTGATAAATTGAAGGAATGTATAATAAATTAAAGTAGTAAACACCTACAGGAAAAGTGATTGTGCAATTGGCAAGCAAACACACACTAGTTTGTTTAAAATAGAAGGGTGACCACAAGAAAGGGTGTTTTTGAGAGAAGAAAACAAGGAAGGAATAGAAAGATTTGAAGGCAAACTTCCTCCCAACAACAGAGGGAAAACGTAAGTACACTTTCATTTGTAAAATACTGTAAAATGTTATAGCTAGCTGTTGCACAATTCTTAAAATAAAAAAAAAAAATTCAGACAACCAAACCAAAAAGGAGATTGTATATGTGTGTGAGATGTCTAAAGTATTGTATGAAAAGACAAGTTTATTTTTGCTGTAGACTCACAGTTCAAAGCACTGCATGGGCTGGTCCACACTAACCCCCCACTTCGAACTAAGATACGCAACTTCAGCTATGTGAATAATGTAGCTGAAGTCGAAGTATCTTAGTTCGAACTTACCGCAGGTCCACACGCGGCAGGCAGGTTCCCCCATCAACTCCGTGTACTCCTCTCGCGGAGCAGGAGTACCGGCGTCGACGGCGAGCACTTCCAGGATCGATCTGGGATCGATTTAGTGTGTCTAGACAAGACGCGATAAATCGATCCCAGAAGATCGATTATACTTACCTCCGGGTCCGGCGGTAAGCAGACATACCCCATGTTATCAATATATAAAATAGATATTTTTGCTGCAAGTTTTGAAAGACCATAGACAGAATAAAAGAGTACTGTGCAGGCAACTTCAATTAAAAAGAAAGAAAGCTGCTCTAGTTTTCCATTGTGGTAAGAGATCACATCATGTGTTTTAAAATTATACCGAAGAATACTATTAAAAAAATATAAAAACCTACGTTCTTAAAACATTGTAGTCAAGTTTTTATCCAGGCCACTAAGTAAAGTAAGCCATGGTTATTCTTTGTAGTTTTCAAGCCACAGTAATAAGATAGTGATTTTCAGTAAAACCCGGTGTTACATTTAGCTGTACAACATTACTAATTACAGAGTAATTTCAACAATAAATATTTTGGTTAAACTCTGCTTTGTCATCAATGCAAGTAATTTTAGTCAAAACTGATCTTTCAGGCAGCACAGACATTTCCTTGGTTTTTAAAAGTATTTTTATTTTCTGGTAACAGGATAGCTTTTGCAACCAGAACACTTCTCTAGAACTAGTGCTTTGCAAACACTAAGCCACAGAGACAACATTAGAGAGGCAAAGGAACTGACTTAAAGCTGTAGCAGTAAGACAATTGGGCTAGCCTTCAAATTGTCCTTAGTTCGTCCTATTGTGCTTCTGTGTAATGCATGAGTCTCCAAATAATGACCTATGGCCTGGTCCACACTACCCCCCCACTTTGGACTAAGGTACGCAAATTCAGCTACGTTAATAACGTAGCTGAATTCGAAGTACCTTAGTCCGAACTTACCGTGGGTCCAGACGCTGCAGGCAGGCTCCCCCGTCGATGCCGCGTACTCCTCTCGCTGAGCTGGAGTACCGGCATTGACGGCGAGCACTTCCGGGATCGATTTATCGCGTCTTGTCTAGACGCGATAAATCGATCCCAGAACACCGATTGCCTGCCGTCGGACCCGGAGGTAAGTGTAGATGTACCCTTACATACCACACATGCTGCACTACCTAAGATTAGCTGAGTAAATTAAAGTCAGAGGATCAAATCACATCTTCCTGCAAAAATAATTCCAGAAGCAAGACAAGAGGAACCATGCTCACCCTGGATTTTCTGTCAAGTTGTCTTTTCAAAGTGGAGCAGCTAGGTACCATAAATAAATCGCTCAAAACCATCCTCGGGATACATAACGAAAGGAACCTGTAGTCCCAGATATTCCCCAGCCCCTTGGCAGCAAAGCTGAAAGGGGTTCTTCAGAAGCCATTGACAAAATCCTCTATGGGTGAGCTGT